ATTTTCAAAATATTGGTGTATTTATAGAGTAGTACATTAAAACCTGTATATTGTTTAATAAGTTCCTGTGTGTTTAGTGTTGAGTTATTTTTAGGTTTATCTGAAACTACAAACCTTGCTCCCTGTTCTCCATGCTTGAGCTGGTAATTGTAAACTGTCACATAGAGGAGATGCCAGGACGAATGTTCTGACCCAATCTGACTGGTGAGATCTGACTGGATCTCACCAGTGTGTCTGGATTAGGGGAACTGAACTGCATCAAATCCTACCACAAGGATGAGGCAGTGACCCTGGACCATTAGGGCAAAGTTCTTAGAGCAGGTACTCAGTGGACAACCGATTCACCAAAGAAAATGTTTTTTGTCTGAGGATTCCTCCAATTGGATTATCCACATGTTTTCAATTATGCTAAAGAAACCAGAATTGGGTTAAGGAGATATTAAACTAAATAATATAGAAAATCCACAATAGTGATTGGCACTCAGGAGAAAGATTCTTGTCATGTAATGTTATAGTACCCAGCTACAATGAACACAGAGCACGTCCCTTACTATATGAAGGAGTGTTGCCGCCACGGAGCAGCCCATCAGCCTCTCACAAGAGAACCAGGGGCAAGGCTGGGTGATTGTCTCTGGGGAGCAACAGTCTTCCTGAGGAGAAATTCTTCAAAACCTAGGACCTTGTTTGGCTTTTGTTTTTCTTTGGCAATGAGAGTATTTTGGAGGTGAAATTATGTGAATTTGGAAAACTGAGCAAAGGCAAAGTAGAAAGGGAAGTGGTAGAAATAAAGAATGGGAGAGATGGAAGAATAAAAACAAATGGATGCTAAGAAGTTATACTAATCTTGTCAGATTTGGGAAGGAAAAAGGCATTCTACAAATATTCCAATGGCTGCATTTAAAGATGGGGAAACTGAGGCCCCCCAAATTTAAGAAATGTGCACTAACTCACATGGGTCATCTCTGGAAGTTCCGAGACACTAGGTAAGCTTTCCTAACAGTGAGGGCATTTCCCAGAACATCACCACATTGCATCAATATTCAAGCCCATTGCAGCTTGTGACCATTTCCTGCTTGTACCAAATGGCTGCTGGCATCTGGGGCTGCTGTTAAGGTTCTCCTGCTTTCTATGACTCCTTGGGGTTCCAAGTTCAAACGATGATAGAGAAGACACCATCATCACCACTGATTTAGTTCACTGACTTAATTCATCATCTCCATCCTGTGCAGTAACTTAATTCGGCCCCTGGAGAAAACTTCACCTGTCTTCAATGTTATATTTTTGTATTTTTTTAAATAACACCATTATATATGTTGTTTTAGAAGAATGGCAATGCCTCTAATTGATCATATTAAAGATCACCATAATAGAAATAAATACATAGATAGAAAATTTAGTTTTCTTCTTAAATTCCAATTGGCATAGTTTCACCTCTTCAGTTTCACTTTTCCTCATCACTACCTCCTTCCAAACTCTGCTTTGTTCTTCCATTTCTCTGCAAAGACTCCGCTATTCGTTTATATGTTTATCCAGAATTTAAATTTCCCAAAGGTGGAAATCATTGCTTATCTATTTTGTATTCATTCATGGGGCATGTTGAAAATACACAGTGATGTTTTTGAATAAAGGTTTGATGTTTTCACATTTATATATATATATAAATGGAATTATTTTAAAAACTCTAAATTAAGAATACTATAAAAAGTTTCAGATAAAAAAACTGTTAGAAACACAATACAAACAGTTTCCTTTATAGATAAGGAAACTGAAGTCAAGAGTGAGCAAGTAGCTCAGTCACCCAGCTAGTTAGAGCCTGAAGAGAATACCCACTCTGGTCTCCTGTCTCTGCCTCCTGTTTTTGTTGCTGTTGTCGTTGTTTGTTTTGCTTTGTTTTTTTTTAGTGTGCTCCATGCAGTCACTTTCTAATAAGTACAAATGAAATCATTTGGATACCTAAATGATTCTTGGAAAAGTATAAATACCTTGGTTATACATTAGAACTTTGACACGCTTCACTCTCTACATTCAAATCTCTAAGTGCTTGTGTATAGTAGATATTCAGTCAGTTTGGGTTTCTACATCCCTTTTTCCCTTCTCTCCCCCAAATCTCCATATCAATCACTTCAAAAATTGCTAACACACCTAGTATGCACCATCTCACGCATCAAAGTTAGCACGTCCACAAAGTCACCCAAGATGCTCCTGGAAGCCAATGATACAGATCACAAGGCTGTTCTCATGTGAACATGATCTCATGTTCTCATGATGGAAGTGCTCTCCAAGGCACATTGTTGGGAGAAATGCAGGTGCCACCATGAGGAAGCACTGTTAGAGAGGACCTCATTACATGTCCAAATGCCAAATCCCTTCTTCCTCAGCCAGATGTACGTCTTAGAGGAGAGGTTCCTACTTGTCTCTAGGCTACTTTTGGGATACACATGAAAAGTAGCACATGTGTGTCCACCATAGGATGGTGGATTTTTGGAATAAGACATTCTGTATATCCAGTGTCCCTGGTAAGTGACCTACTTTCCCCAATAAGATGTCCCCCCAAAGTCAGTGTCAGTTGAACCACTTAGACTACCTGGTAGCTTTTACGTTTAGATGTTCGGAAGTCTATCCTAATTTTTAATTTTCGTAGTTCTCTTTAATATAATGAAGACCTCTTCATCTTGCTTGAGATTAGTCTAGGGTTTAAAAAATTCCTTCCAACACTGTTCTGTGAGTTGACAAGCAGCTTCCCCTGTGATTTGAGCCTAGCTAACAACCTTGGACTTTGGAAGATTAATTACTAGGCAGATGCATTTTCAAGGTGGTTCATTTTCACTTTGAGGAAACTTGGTCATTTTACTTTTGCATCTGTTTGGAGTAGGACGTCCTTTGGCTGAAAATAACACAAGTCAGTGCTGAGAACGCCCTCCTCTGTACTACTGATGTGCTGATTTCTAGATTACATTTTAGGCCGGACTGACACCAAAACCATTTTTTAAAGACTGTAAAAAATGCCATACTTTAGAATCATTTAAATAATTTACGATATATGAAGGGTAGTAAGTGCTCAACAAGTATTTTAACTAGGTATTTATTGAGAACTGACAATAAACAGCTTTGTGCTGAACACCGTGTAAAGCACCAAAAGGTGTACTGGTACAACGATTTTCCCTAAGTCGATGTCTGTTCACGACACATCTTGAATTTTTCCACACTTACCCTAAGTAACTTGATTCAAAAAGGGTTTTCTGCCAGCTAATTTGCTGACTTAGAGTCACCACTGATTTTTGTCTCCTTTTGTTCAACTGAGTCAGTACAGTCTAAAATTGGACAGCTTATGGTATCAGGTAAAAATCCTTACAAAGAGGGTACAATCTTCGAAGTTGCAACTAGTTAACTTTGGGCTTCTACTTGCTACAAAAAGCAACTTCATTTTATTGGAGAAAATGTCAATCAAGACGCAACTACTGACACCCATCTTTGTTTCCCCAGCCGGTAATACAAGATAAAGCAGAGGAAATGGAGGGACCGCATTTGCAACACACAAAGTCCTTGTTTTCCCACTAGGCGCTGGAGAAAAGCAATTGTCCATTCACAGCACATCCTCTGCATTTCGGAGCTAATATTTTCACAGTTCTTAACTTAGTACATTACAGTCTCATGCAGTTAATTTTGTTAACCCTTTGAAATGCACTATGTCTCTGATATCTTGCTTAATATTTCTAACATGACCCAGTTTTTAAAATTTCTGTTTCTCAAGGTGGAGAATAGAAATCTTTAAAAAAAAAAATCAAGTAAGAAATTTTGGAAACAGAGTCACGGTTTCGAATAATCCCATTTTACTTGCTATTGCATAACTTTGAGAAGGCTAATAAGGAAATCCAGGTTAACCATATGTTACTGGAATTGCTTTGACAAAAATGGACTCTTTGCACAGAAATGATTTTTAGCAGGGGTCCCCCTCAACGCATAATAATAACGTGTCATTGAAAACAACATTAGCGCTATGTTATTTGCCCTGCTTCCTGCAGCAGTTAGTGTGTTTACTGTCTATGCCTGCCTTCTGATGCAAAGAGGTTTACTCAAACAGTCACTCTGCCCAAAGCCTATGAAGAACAGAATCTATGGATGATTAATTAGATCCCCGGCTCAATCACTAAGGTCCCTAATTAAATATCTCACTCTGCTTTCAACTCTTGCAGGAAAAGAAAATTAGCAAATTCACAGGGTTAATAAAGAACTTTTTAGTTTCCTTTATAAAAAGTAAGATCTAAACCATGGGTCATCTAACTCAGCGACAGCACCTCTTCTGCCAACTTCCAAATCCAGAATATTTTTTTAAATGCAACAAGGTGCTAAAGTGCATTTTCCTCAGGAATTCATTTTTCTGACATACCTTCTACAAGTTTTTCTACCTTCAGCCCTATTACCTATTAGCTTATTCCTACTAATTTCTTCTTCTTGAAGTCTGCTATCAACCAACATGACAAACTCAAGGAAAAAAACAAAAAACAAAAAACAAAACAAAAAAAACCCTGATTTTCCTGCAGTCCTCACCAATCTCTGTACTAATATTTTCCTGCTCAATCTCCACCGAAAAGAAAAATGACCCAACTCTAAGATTTATGTTGAAGAAAAAGTATTGCATTCACTACAAAAGAAGGGAAAAAGGAGTCCTCCTCCACGGGGTCTCAAAGTGCAATGAAAATCCTGGAGTCTCGCATTTAGGCTGGTTGGAATGAAAGGGTTAATTCAGGGTAAGTGATAATGTTTAGTCCATTCGCCTAGAAAAAGGAAGGAAATTCAAAAGCTGGTTGCTGTAGTAACAATCACAGACCAAAAAAAAAAAAAAAAAAAAAAAAAATATATATATATATATATATATATATATATATATATATATATACATATATATATATGTACAGGTTCATTTTAAATAAAACTCCTGCCATCTCTGATTCTGTTCTCTCAAGAAAAATGAGCTTGCCGCTTAAATTTGTTGTACCTACCTCAACCATTAAACAAGACATTTAACCATAGTGGCAGTTCTGTGACCTTTGAATGCCGTGAAATCTCTGAGCGGTGCTGCTTGTTCATGAAGACTTGTGCTGCAGAATCCAGCAACTTCATCCAGGATTAGGAATATAATTAAGTAAAAACAAGGAAAAAAGAAAAAAAAAAAGAAAGAAACACAAAGGCACGCAGAGAAATTGAGAGAGAAAGAAGGTAGAAAGAGAGATTGTCTCTGGGTGAGTACACGACTTTTCTCCCAGGCAAGCGCTGGGACAGAGCTGAGCCTGCTGCAGTGCCCAGACCCACGACTGGCTGGGGGAGCAGGCAGGCAGCCGGCCTGCTAGGCTGGGAGGTGCTGTCAGTTGCCACAGGCGAGGAAAAGCAGAGACCAATCGGCTTCAACTCTGGCGGCTTACTGGAGTGGAGCCTTTTCTGTTTATGTTTCCTCATTTCAAGAGTGACGTCAAAGGGTTTAGTTTTTCCTCTGCATGTGCTATTAATTTTAAAGTACTGTACTATGGGAAGAATGTGTGTGTGCCTGTGGTTAGTCTGGGCACCCCACTCTCAGGAGAACCCAAGAAACATTTCCTATATTCAGGAATGGATTTTAAAAATTTAAAATACCTCATGGTTGGGTGTATCAAAAACAAAAACAAAAAAAGGACAAAAACCTTGAGCTAAATAATAGTGGCAAGATTTATATGCTCTTTTTCCAAATGTAAGTTGTGTACATATGCCCACTTGACAGCTGTTGCTTATTTCAAAATGAACTCTTTGTCAGCCTTACCTAAAATGAATTGTTAGTTAATCTTTATAGTCATGGATGCAGAGTTCTGCAAATGACCTGGTGAGCGATAATATGTGCAGGGAAAAACAGAGATCCTGTTTATGCTGCTGATCCCTGATTTTCTATCTTTCCTCCAGCTTCTGTGGTGAAGCTTTAGGATTATTTGCGCTAGGGGGATCCTTCCTGCAACTCCCCACAGGGAATCATTCAAGAAGCAGGGCGTGCTGATGCCATACAGGCATGCCTGGGATTTCAGCATGTCCTCTTCCCAAACGTGTGAAGGTGCAGTTATTTAAGGATTCTTCCTCTACCAGGGGCCCCAGCTTATCCCTGTATTTCTCTTCCTACTCTGGAAAATCTCAGTGGTGGCCATCTGTTGTTTCTCCCTCCCCCATATTCTCTCCCTTCTCCCCCTGCCCCATTCTGCTAATAGAACCTCTTTTTTTCTTTTGGAAACTTTCCTTTCTCCACCTATGGACTGCACAGGCTTCCTCTGCCACCTCCCTTCTCCCTCTCAGCCCCTGAACCCCCACCCCACAACAGAACTATGAAGGGCATGTGACCCAGACTGGCCAATCAGATTTCTTCATTGCTCTAGACACAGAAAATGTTTTAGGGGTAGGCACATCACTTAAGAAAGGCCAGAGTCCTTTTTCAAATATTAATACTGATTCTTTGGGAAAGGACGTATTTCTATCTCTCTACAATCATATGTGGTAGGGTTAAATAAGCCTGTAGTTAGGGTTCATCTTTGATGTTGAAGATACAGCAATGAACAAAACAGATAGTACCTGCCTTCATGTACTTTACATCTGAGGGAAGGGTGAAGACAGGCAATAAAAATAAATAAATATATAATATCCGTTGGTAATAAGGCTTTGAAATAAAGGAAAGTAAGGGCAAGAAGTAGTGTGTGTGTGTGTGTGTGTGTGTGTGTGTGTGTGTGTGTGTGTGTGTTTGCTGTTTTAGGTATAATGATCATGGAAGCACTATGATAAAGCAATGTGGAGCAGAGTCCTGAATGAAATGAGGAAGCTGGTCATCTGTGTCTCTGCATTCCAGGCAACAGAAGCTGTATGAAGTCCTAAGACAGGTGAATGGTTGGTATATTCAAAGAACAAGGGAAATAGAGTAGCTAGAAGAGAATGAGCAGAAAAAAGAAATGGTTTTAGAGAGATATGTCTCGGGAAAGATCAGGAAGTATCTTAGAAGCCAGTTAAAGTATTTAGACTTTATTCTAAGACGGAAAACCTATCAGAGTGTTTTGAACTAAGGAATGCCTATGATCAACATAAATTCTAAAAGGATTTCCTCTCCCTTCTGTGTGGAAAATAGACTCTAGAGGAACAAGGGTAGAAGTAGGGAGGCCAATAATGAGACCATTGCAATAATGGCTTGATCTTGGGTGAAGGTGGGGAAGGTGAAGGAGGCCAGATTCTGGAAGGACATGTGTGTGTGTGTGTGTGTGTGTGTGTGTGTGTGTGTGTGTGTACACATATAGAATTAGCAGGATTTCAAGATGTGGGGTGTGAGAGAAAGAGAGGAATCAAGAATAATTCCCAGGATCCTCTCTTGAGCAAACTAGAATAGAGTTGGCACTTACTGATAGAGGGTAACTGGAAGAAGAACGTAGTTTTGAGCTGAAATAAAAAGTGGTTCTGGGACTTCATTCAACAGCAACAAATATTTATTGATCATGTACTCTGTACAGGCACTGTTTTAAGTGTTAGAGATGGAGAAGTGAACACAAACAAACAAACACGAAGGCCCTTGTCCTCATGAAACTTGGGTTTTTCTGAGAGAAGACAAATCATTACAATAAAGTAGAAGATTATAAAGGATACACTGAATGAGTGATGTGGAGTAGATAGTTCTATATATAGAACTGGAGTTCAGGGGACAGTTCTGAGCTATAGATATAAATTTGGAAATCATTGTATATTCAAGGTATTTAACACCATGAGACTGGATGAAATTACCAAGGCAGTGAGTACAGGTGGAAAAGCCCCAAGCAGTCCAAGATTAAGTAGTCAGGAATATGAGAAAGAACAAGTGGAGGAGACTGGGAAGGAACCTCCAAGAGATAAGAAAAAAACCCCAAAAGTGTGATACCTTGGAAGACAAATGAAATTTTCAATGATCAACCTTGTAAAATGAAAATTAGATGAAGACTGAAAATTGACCCTTGAATTTAGAATGTGTAATCATTTGTGTCCTTGACAAAATCAGGTTCAGTACAGTAGAAAGGGTGAAAGGTCAAGAGAGAATTAAAGAGAAAAGTGGGGGCAGACAGTATAGGCAATTCTTTTAAGGTGTTTTTCCCCACAGAGAGCAGAGAAATGGGGTACTAACTGGTAGGGAGAGTGGAGTCAAGGAGGTCTTTCCAACTAGGAGAAATATCAGTATTTTGTATGCAGTGATAGGAAATATTGAGTTAAGAAGAATAATTAGTGATGCAAAAGAGAGAAGGAGAAATAGTTGGAACACATGGAGTATGTGGTACACTGAATTGCCCTTCAAAGATGCCCAATCTCTGGAATCTGTGACTCTATTATATTATGACAAAAGGGACTTTGCAGATATAATGGAGGTAATGGATCTTAAAAGATGGAGATTGTTGGGGCACCTGGGTGGCTCAGATGGTTAAGTGTCTCCCTTTGGCTCAGGTCATGATCTCAGGGTTCTGTGATTGAGCCCCACATCGGGCTCCCTGCTCAGTGGGGAGCCTGCTTCTCCCTCCCCTCTGCCTCTCTCCCTACTTGTGCTCTCTTTCTCTCCCCCTTCTCTCAAATAAATAAAACTTAAAAAAAAATAAGAAAAAGGAGATTGTCTTAAATTATCTGGTGTGCTCAATCTAATCATATGAGCCCTTAAAAGCAGAGAACTTTCTTTGGCTGGAAGCAGAAGATAGATGTAGCAGAAGAAGTTAGAGAAGTTTCAAGTATCAGAAGTATTCAATGCACTGCTACTGGTTTCAGATGTAGGACCTGTGTGCAAGGACAAGAGAGAGCTTAAGGCTATCCCCAGCTGACAAGAGCAAGGGAACAATCACCTTAGTTCCACAGCTGCAAGGCATTGGATTCTGCCATCAACCTGAATGAACAACCTGAAATAAATTCTTCCCTAGAACCTCAAGAAAGAAACACAGCCCTGTTGACACCTTGTTTTCAGCCTTTTAAGACTCTAAGCAGAGTATCTAGCCAAGGCACCTACAGATCTATGAACTAATAAAGTTTCTGTTAATCCATTACAGCGGTGATGGAACACTAGTATAAAATGATTGGCTTTAGAAAGCAGCATGGATAATTCATCCACAGAACCAGAAGAGAAGGCAGAGTAAATGGTAGAGATATTGCTAGGTGGATTGTAGTAATGGTGGTGCAAGATTGTGAAAGTTCTCTGTGATTTCTAATTTCTCAGTAAAATTGGAACTAAGTATTTTTTTAAAAGATTTTATTTATTTATTTGACAGACAGAGATCACAAGTAGGCAGAGAGGCAGGCAGAAAGAGAGAGGGGGGAAGCAGGTTCCCTGCTGAGCAGAAATTCCCAATTCAAGGCTCGATCCCAGGACCCTGAGATCATGACCTGAGCCAAAGTTAGAGGCTCAACCCACTGAGCCACTCAGGCACCCCAGGAATTAAGAATATTGGCTAAGAGACAGGATAGAGGAAGTGGTGAAAGTTTGAAGAGAAAAGAAGTGAAATAGTCATCCAGAAGAGTAAAAATAAGGAGTTATCATAGAAGGATAACATAACGGTCAAGAGTACTAAGGGCTTATTTGAGTTTAGTTGTCACGAATTAAAATGATAATAGAGAGTGTGTTACCTTTACAATATCCATGAGACATTTGAATAGAAATGTCATATGGGCAGCTTGGAGATAATTCTGGGGAGGTAAGGGCAGATGAAATGCTATTGAAAACTATGGGATGGCATGAAATCATTTGATGAATGAGTATAGACTCAAGGTCGAAAGTCTGGGGTCTTCCAATATCTATTGGGATATTGGGAAATTGAGGATGATCTAGCAAAGGAGACCAAAAAAGACCAGACATGGAGGTAGACACACAACCAAGACAGCGGCCTCTCAAAAGTTAAGTTCCAATAGTTGGTGGTGTGGACTGAATATTTCTACCCTCCCCAGTACTCCCAAGGACACTCACCAATTCATATGTTGAAGCCCTAACTCCCAGTATGACTGCAATTGGAGAAAGGGCCCACAGGGAGGTAATTAAGGTTAAATGAGGTCATAGAGGGGGACCCTAATCTGACAGGTCTGGTGCCCTTGTAAGAAAGGAAAACACACTAGAACTCTCTGTCTCCACCATGAGAGAACAGAGCCAAAGGTGAGCTTTCTGCAAGCCAAGAAGAGAACTCTC